GAGAAAGTACAGTGGTGCCTCGCAAGACAAATTTAATTCGTTCTGTGGTTAATGTTGCGGAACACATTTTCCCATAGGAATGCCTTAAAATCTAATTAATGAGCTCCTGTGGGCAAAAAAAAGGCAGAACAAAGTCAAATTTGGTTTACAAAGGTTTATTAAGTGGTCTTTAAAGCCATATATATTGTGCAGATGATTTAAAAATTGCAATTAAAAAACTAACTTTTTAAACATCATAGAAAAACATTTAAAAATCAGCAAACATGAGGCAGGAACAAAAAACGGAAAACATTCGTCTTGCGAAGCACGGCCATAGGAACATTTGTCTTGGTAGTCATCAACCCCATTGCCAAAACCATATATCTTGCGAGTTTTTTGTCCTGCGAGGCACCACTGTATAAGAGTTTTAAAATAGGTTGCTAGTCTGCCTTTATGTGCCATGTTAAAATCCAGAAGTGGAAAATAAATACCAGTAATACCCTTGTATACTTCTGTTCCTGTTAACACTCAGATTTTTGACCTATGTAAGTAAAGAGTGGCGCATTCAGCAGAAAGAATGGTTTTATAGAAGAGGAAAGGGGAAACCCCTCTGAAAGAACTGGTATAGTTCAATGAGTATGAGTGCCTGGAAACTGGGAGTTTGTCTCCACTGTGCCTCCCAGGAGGGGAGCATGTATGGTTGGGTGGGGTTAAATGCCAGATTGCCCTGCTACCTGTGGCAAGTTGCATGCTTCCAGATCATCACCAGAATAAGGGACTGCTAAACCACTTCTGAGGACTTGCCAAGAAAATCCTGGAAAGGATTGCAGTAAATCACATCTGATGGTACACAATTATTATTATTAAACCATCTGACAGTAGCAAAAGTAAATGTAAAAGAGCTTCAGGGAGTGCAAATGAACTGCATTCTTTCCCATCAATTATATGATTGTGTTACTAGTTTTACTGTGGAGGCAAAGGCTAACTTTGAAAATATACTGTTAAGACACATGAATAATGCAAAAACATTGATTTCTAACAATTTTATTTATATTTAATCAAAGCAAGACATCAGCATGACAAATACTTTGAAAACAACACTGGAAGGTGAAGTTGGGAATAGCAAGAAAACTTGGATGTATGGAACAGACAAGGGATGATCCCAGCACTGGAAGCAATCACTGAAATACTTTGGGAGAATTCTTTAATATTACTATACCGATGGTGCATTACAGTCAAACAATACTAATGCTGGAGAAACCATAACCAGCAAAGCTAATGCCAAAGTCGTCTTTGGTTCTTCCTTTTGGAAAGTCACGGGCCTTCCAATTCACTGCTGGCAGTCCGAGCCAACAAGAAAGCAAGCGGGAGATTGACTTATCACTGGACTCAGGATGACAGACAGCTAATTCCCCCCCTTTAAAGGTAAAATGCAGTGGGAAGAGGAATTGGCTTGAACACATGAAACATGTTATGTCCCACTGTTGTGGGCAGAACAGTGTAGAATCAATTTGCACACAAAGAAGTGTTAATGAGTAGAAGTGAATAAGTTGACTGGTCATCTTTTAAACCAGGTAGTGAAGAAAATCAGTAGGAGACACAGTTCTGATTCACATAAATGATCCTTTTTCCTCCCTGCTGCTCAGGAGAGTGAACGAATGGGAGGCAGTATTTGAGCAAATGCATTAGCAACTTCTCCCATTCCATGGACATTCACTCCTTAAGACTGAGGCTGGGAGTTCAGCAGGAGGAGAAAGCAGGCACGGGTCAAAAACCATTGGTGTTGTTCTGTGTCCTCAAGTCAGAACCGAGTCGGAACCGACTTATAGCAACCCTAATAGGACTTTCAAGTTAAGTGAGATATTTAAGGATATCTTGAGTTTCTATGCTCAAGTGGGGATTTGAACCGTGGTCTCCAGAATCCTGGTCCACCACTCCATCGATTACACTGTGTATCACCGGGGACAAGCAAAACTACTCAAATACCTCACATACAGAAACCAAGGCAAGTCAGATGCAACTTGACAGCACATAATGTACCTACATAGTTCTGCAGGTCTGGAATAGGAAAGAGAAATGGCCACCGGCTGGGTCAAAAGACTTGTGGTCTCTCAAGAGAGTTGTTGTCACGACTGTGACGCTTATTCAGGTGCTCATAGAATTTATAGCCTCTTTAAGCAATGAGCTGAAAATTTCTTTCTTAAAAATTTTTTATGTCTGCTGGTTTTGAGGGTGACCACAAAACACAGCTTGGTGAGGTGGATAAGACCCGCTTTAGGGAGCTAGTGTGAGTTCAGTTTTAAAAGAGGAAAAACAGCCTCCTTTTTCTCCCAGGTAGAAAAATGGGCAAACAGGTTCTCCAGAGAACAAGGGTGCAGAAAACACGCACAGCAGGTCTCCTGTTTTTCCATTGTAGAAGGCCAGACGTTTCCCGGGATGGTTCAGAGACACTCGGATCGTCTTGACCTCACTCACATAAATGAAACCAGGAATTGTGTGTTCCCCTTCACAATGCCCCACAACCCAGAACCCTTCTTCAGGGCCACATGCAAACCTGCCCTTCCTTCTCACAGAACTTCTGGCGACCCCCACAGCCCAGTCTTCACTACGGCTCACGGTGACTTCCCAGAAATGCCTGCCTTCTTTGAATTCCTCACGTCCTAGCGCAAAAAGATAATGGTCAAATCGCTTAGGATTTGGGGGGAGGTCTTTGCCTTCAAATCCTATGCGCATGGTTTTATGAGAGTTGGTCAGTTTGATTCGTGGATGTGCTGTGTCCGGATCCAGAGTTACATTAGCTGTTGAGCGGGAAGGAAGGAAAATAAAAATTAGGCAAACAAAATCAACGAAGAGGGCTGACTGAAGACTTGGGCTGTAGCTGTCACACAAGGTTTATGTAAAAGTAACTGCACCCTTCCTTTTCTGCCATTAGAGGTGGGTTACCCCCCAAAAAAGTGATCCATCTGCAGAAACAAATCCATGGCTGGGACAGGACCTTTGCTGGATCAGTAAAAAGTTACAAAACATAATACAAAAGGTTCCCCTTCCTTACATGTTAAATCGTCACCATCATGTATCATCAAATCAATTCTGATTTACGGCGACCCCTTTCAGGTGTTCTGGGTATACTCAGTATTCCAGAATACTCAGAAGTGATTTCCCACCCCCTTCTTCTTTAACTGTGCAGCTTGCCCAAAGCCACACAGGCTGGCTCTACTCACAAGAGGCACAGTCAGGAATCTGGGATAGCTTTAAAAAAACAACACCTGAAAAAGGGTCACCACAAGGCAGAATTTTCAGCTTGTTCATTTGTTTTTAACATTCATGCCTTTAATGACTTGACATAATTTATTATTATAATAGTTTGATTTGCTTTTTAATGTGTTCATAGAATCGTCATAGGGTTAGAAGGGACCTTGGAGGTCTTCTAGCCCAACCCCCCTGCCCAAGCCAGGAGACCTCATACCATCCCGGACAGAGGGCTGTCCAATCTTTTCTTGAAAAGTTGTGTTATGATTTTACTTGTTTTAACCTTGTGAACTGCCTTGAATCCTCTTATGGGGGAAAAGTGGCTTATAAATGAGACTAAATAAATAAATAAATAAAAAAATAAAGAACTTACTTAATGGCACATGACTGCTATTATTATTAATGCATAAGTATCAGGGTTGTGGCTGAGGGAAGATGTGTGATATGAGGGAGAAGGAGAGCAATCTTTTAAGTATTCCCATCATACAAGGAATGATTTAACAGATTTAGCGTTTTTATGAACAAAGTATGAGACGGGAATGAGATCCATGATGGTAACCTTCTGAGAAGTAGCCATCTTTTGTGTGAATTTTGACCATCATCTCCCACCCTACCTCAAATCCAAACATGGAGGATGAACCATTAGACCCCAAACTCACCTTTCTGTGGTTGAAGCCCAGATACAAACACGTCTGAGGGGAAAAAAATGAAAACAGAAATAGAGTACTATGCTGTTCAGCTTATAACAAATAAAGTATTAAAAATCAACTAAACATCATTTACTGGGAGATTAATCAGCAGCATTCTAAGATAGCCGCTGTAAGAAACAAGCATTCAAGTTGAAATGACTGCTGGAAAGGGCATTTTGTAAGAGGGACAGTATCATCATAGGTGGCTTCTAACCTTTCCATAACCATAGCCCTGACACAGCGGTCCCCAACCTTTTTAGCCCCACAGACTGGCTGGGGAAGGCGGGCCACCCCCCTGCATGCATGCGCATGTGCAAAAGAGTTCTCTATCTCGGGCATATGCACAAAGGGTGGTGTGCAGGTGCAAACAGGCTGTGCGGTGGGGGAGGTCTGTCTTGGTGGCCCGGTCTGGCTCAGGCCACGGACCGACACCGGGCCGTGGACCGGGGGTTGGGGACCTCTGCCCTAATGGACAATATATGCCAGACACCTCGGGCACTAGGCAGAAATGGACACCTAGAGTTAGGAATTCATCTCCTCTTTCGTTGCAAGGAAAGTTGCCTGGTTTGATGGAAGTTAAGAAACACCTCGGGCACTAGGCAGAAATGGACACCTAGAGTTAAGAATTCATCTCCTCTTTCGTTGCAAGGAGAGTTACCTGGTTTGATGGAAGTTAAGAAGTATGACTTGTTAAAAGCGGAACCAAATAATATGAACATGTTGTACTTATCTTACTAGGTTTCTAACATATCAATGAAAACATAACTGGTCTCTCACACATTTGTTTCTAACGCTGAAATGCTGAAAAATTGAATTACTTACTGTACTTCCCCAAAGTCACGTTTGGGAAGTACACATTTTCAGAAGTGACTTTTGGGCAGTACAATATGTATTTACTTCTTTGTACATCATTATTTTACTAACTCTTTATATTTTTAAAAAAGAAGTAGCTGTAATTTGTAAACATCTCTGGTCAAAGACACAAGGTAAAAATAACAGCTACATTTTGTTTATACTTTCACTACGTAACTTGTAAAAAACAAAGCAATTTTGAACAATTTTCATAAAACAAAATCATATACTTTTGACTTTACATTCATTTAAGCTGCAGCCAACAACCCTTCTCACTATTAAGTGAACTCAACAGGGTTGCTGGGAGTTGTAGTCCAACTGGTTCTATAGGCCAAGAAGTTCCCTGCCCTTGATTTAAGCATTTAATGGTCACAAAATTGTACTTTTTATTGTCATTTCCAGGGCTTGAAAAATCCACTCGTCTGTGACGAGTGAAAAAATGCTGCTTGATGAGCCACAGCTCCCTCCCTCCCTGCCTCCTTACCCTCAGTCCCTCTCTCTATGTATCTCTCTCTCTCTGATGATGCAGTCCTCCCCTCCCCCTTCCCATTGCAAAAGGAAAAACAGCCCTCTTCTTGCGAGAGGAGAGTTTGAGCGGCACATAGATATATAGCTCTACATGAGAATGCAGAGTACTCCCATGCTGGAGAATATGGAGATTCCCTGCTCCCAATTTCAACGGAACAACCTGGTTCCTTAAGAGGCCGGGCACTTTTGCTTTCAGTTTTATTTTTGTTGGAGACATTCAAAAGAAAGGCATTTAAAATACAAGCTTCATGACCCCACAGGCACGCAGATAATAAAGCAACCCAAGTCTGAGGGTATATTTATTTTGGGTTTGTACGCATTGTTATGTAGTAAGAGCCTACTTCAAGTTCAAATTTAAGTTTAAACATAAATTGCAAGGCTATAGTCCTGACTGGTGAAATTTTTGATTGACTGGTGAGACATTCTAAAATTTTTCAATCTCTGGTCATTTCAATCCCCTTTCCACTGATTTTTCCCCCATACGCTCAAGTCTGCATAAGCATATCTGCGGATTATACTGCTTTCAGGCACCTGATTAAATGAATTTCAGTTTATGAAAGCATAAAATATAATCAATTGGTTATTCTTGTAGCACAGGATTCTTCATAAGACTGGCAAGAATTACAGAAAATAAAAATGAAGATTTTTTTTTTAAATCTAAAAATGCAACTCTTGCTTGTTTACAGAAAACCTGTCTCTAGTGCTATAGTTCCCAGCCTTGGGTCCCCAGATGTTCTTGATCTAAAACTCCCAGAAGCCTTCACCACTCGCTGTGCTGGCCAGGATTTCTGGGAGTTGTCGTTCAGTAACATTTGGGGACTCATTGGGAACCAGCGCTATAGTGAATTAAAATTACATTCTTAATGGCACTCAACTCCAACTCTTTCAAAGTACTTCTGATTTTTTCAGGTGATCTACAGCCTTTCAACACCCATATGTGGGCCAGTGTAACAGCCAGAAAAAAATAATCTTGGCATTCATTAATCATTACCTTTGAATTGTTTCATAATGCCCTGCAGAAAGGGATTTATATCACTGAATTCCCATGTCTTCCATTTCAGTGAAGGAGAAAATTGTCTCTCTTCCGGGACGACAGATTCCATCGGTTCAACGTGCCTGAAAATAAATAATGTTACTAACATACTAACTAAAATTTTTAGGGTGATCAGACGTTCAGGGGAAATGTGTTTCTCTTGCGGTTACATTTTTTTCTGTAGCTGCACAACTCCTTTGTAACTGATTGGATGTGCAAAGAAATGCCAGCCCTACCATTAGGGAGGGTGAAGCAACTGCCGGAGCCAGTGGAGGATTAGGAGGGCTGACGTGTAGATTACCCCTGCTGAGAAGACCCCACCAACCCTGCTCCACCTTTCTTTTCTTAGCTTGCCCTTCTGCTCACTTCGGCACCATTATCATTGCCTACCTCATCCTGCTTGCTGGCCGGGTCTCTAATTCTGGGATGGTGGGGGGTGGCAGACCCTCTCATTCCTCTGGCCTCTCTCTACCTTCCTTGGCCATCACGGCTACCACCTCCATCCCATGATCTCACCCTTGCTTGGTCATTCTAGCTCTGGTCGGGTTTATTCATTCATTCATTCATTCATTCATTCATTCATTCATTCATTCATTCATTCATTCATTCATTCACTCA